GAGCGTAGGGGATGATGGGGCACCAACCTTCGGGTCTTCAGAGGTGTATTGAAATGACCAGGCAGCCACGCACGCTATCGCGTGCTCTAGGGGCTGTAACCATGAGGGACGGAGCCACATGAGCTGATTTTCAATGGACCTTTATCGGATTTATGAGTTTCCGTTCAAACCCGCCCCCTGTGCGGAGTTTGGTCCTGCCACTCACCTTGAGTGTTCCCATCCCGCCGCCTATACTCCTTCCAGCTTTAACTATCTAGGTCCACGGGGACAGGAGTTATGATTTTCCAAAATGTTGTCATAAAGCATTGCATTTTTAGAGAACGCCCCGCCCATTGGGGGTGTGTCTCCCCAGTTGGATCTAACTTACCAATGCACACTTCTAGCCATCTTTAAACCCCACTTCTGAAGCCGACTTGTGACTGAATTTGTAATCATGGTCCTCAGTACGGCTCATTCGATGCATGTCACGCCCACTGTGGGCGGAGCTAAGGAATTTCATGACAGAGATACATAACTACAGACGACAGAAAGAACGACAGACGAAGCGCTTTATAGTAAGTAGGATTCCTTGCTATAGGGATGTCAGAGGATAGGGGGGAAAGGGTACCGTGGTGGGTGCGATGCTAACCCTATGCAAAAGCCGGAACGGAAATAGAATTGTCTTTTAAGATATTACCTCGCGGGGAGGGCGTAGACAGGGGCGGGACAACATGTGCCTCTCCCCAACTGCGTTTTCCTCATCAATCCCATTCAGAGCAGCTGTCATGACGGCGGTAATCGCTGAAAACTAGTAAATTTTGATATGCCTCAATAAAATCGCTGCGTCATAGCCGCACTCGCGGTCTGGAAGGCAAAGAAGCGGCGTCAGTCGCCGCTTATGTGAAGCTTAACTGGACAAGACACTAGACAACTCAGCTGTTTTTCTCCAAACAATTTCAGCGCTGATATGATTGCAGGAGGATGTGTCGAGTGACGGCTTTTTTAAATGTTATTGAGTTCAATGTATGTAGTACGGGAGGCGAAAGGTGTATCTAGGTTCGGATGTGAGTGTAAAACGTCGTAAAATCGGTACCAGCGATGGAGAATCGGACAGTGACGGTGAAGGGCGAGTTGGTCGCAAGCGTGCTGCCGATGCTTGGGATTCCGCTAATCAACCACCGATGCCGCGCCGTCCTGTTGATCTCGTCGCGCTCGGCGTGAATTTCAAGACCACTGACGAAGATTTCAAAAAGTACTTTGGAACGTTCGGTACCGTCACATTTGCAGAGGTGCGTGAGAATTATGTCTGTGAGTGCTCTGTGTGTTTTGTGTTTTGTCTTGGTGCTTGAATGTTCTCGACATTCTTATTAGGTAAGTTTAGTAAAGAAATGCAAAACATGATCTGACGTGGGTAGTGTGTACGTTATGTGGGCATGCTCGTTACAGCAAGTTCCAATTTGGTGCTTGTTATGAAAAGCGATGAATATGGGTGTGATTTGTTAGAGATTCACCTTTATCACCTTTCCAAATCATGAAATCAGTCTTTGAAATAGTGTCATAGTCCCTGCACAAGGGTACTCTGCAGGTCTGCATAGCTGGTCAGTAATGGGGATAGATTAACCAGTTTTTTTT